GGCTTTGCCAGGCAGGCACGGCGGGAGAGCGGGATGGGGCAGCAACGGGCCTGCCTGACGGGAGCCCGAGGAGGGAGAGCCGCTAACGAGCTCTGCTAACGAACCCGCTGCCAGCGAGCTCAGCACATCCCAAGGCCGCGCAACTCTGCTTGGGGAAGGTCACGGGGTACCCAGGGATCCCATTTATTGGGGTCTTACGGCGGTTCTAATTCCCGGTAAATCGCACTCCGTGGCGGTGAGCGGCATCCCGGGCCACACGCCGACTCAGGCCCCATTGAGGGGGTCGCTGCTGCTCGAGAAACGGCAAGTCAGGCCCAGAACTGTTCCGTGTCGTTAAAGCGAGGATGTGGCGTTACAGGAACCCTGAGGAACTGTCCCAGGTCATGTCTCAGCAGCTTGAACTGCCAATAATGAGGAAATTGCCCATAACAGGCTGCTGCTAGGAGCAGTGTCTGCAGCAAGAAAGGCTTTTCCAAGATCGCAGACGGGGAACTTTGAGTGTGCTTTTACTGTGAAAAATGACAGAGGAAAACGGCGTCCCTGTCCCTGTCCCGCGTTAACGATGCCCGATTAGAACTGACTCTGTTTATCAGCCAGAAGACGCCTCGTTAACCTCCAGCAGAAACCGGTCTGTGAGTGACCTGAGAACGGACGTTCACGACTGGAGTCAGGGTGAAAATACCTGTAAAAGTCTATTTTTTAATAAAATGCATTTGTGCCTCTGTGTGTAGTGGAAAAGGATTTTCAGGAACATCATTTCCGTGAGAATCGAGACCGACGCCCTTGGCCGCCCGGCTGGACGCCCCCAGCCCTGGGGCCAGCGCACCGGGGCAGCCGGAGACTCCCGCACCCTGGAGCAGCCCCCACACCCGGGGAGCCCCGCACCCTGGGGCAGCCGGGGACTGCGGCGTCCCTGCGCCGCACCGCGGGGGGCAGGGGGCAGCGCTGGGGACCGCCGGAGGGTCACACTCGTGCTCGTCCTCTTCGCGTCCCGAGACAAAGGTGATTAATTGGGGCGGGGA